CAAGTACAGGTTGCTCATTAACTGTACTGGTGCAATATGAAAAATAAATGTTTGTGTTAAAACTACGCAAACTTACATGAGAAATGTAGCTGTACATCCACAAAATATAGGGTACTTTGTTTCATAAAGCACAAAAAAAGACATTTTTGTTTTTAAAAGCCCCTAAGGGGTTCAAAAAATAGGCCCCCCCTTTTCAACAAATGAGTTTTTTTAGACTAGAAGAGTTCTGCCTTTTAAGACAGGAAAGTATAGCAGTTAAAGTTGCTACTTGAGAAAATACTGAACCATAGAGATAAAATAGCCCTGTGATTCAAATTATAAATTGTATTTGGAATAAAAATGAGAGAACTAGGGGTGCTAAAAAACACATCCTCCAAAGACAGATATTTACATGGGAATGTGGCAGATAATTAATTGACATATTACTGATCTTGCTGGATTTTATTCTGCTTTACTTCCATAAATTGCAGGATCTTCTTTACTTTATCTTTGCCAGAAGATTTAAACTTTAAAAGCCTTGCCCTCATAATTTGCAAGTTAATTTATTTATAAAGAAAATATAAACGCTGCTTAAGCTAATTCAAATGAAATTAAAAGTAAAATAAGTAGCCAACCTTATCACTGTCTGTAACCTACTAACACGGTAAGGAAAGCATCAGATGAGCTACCTGAGAAACTAACGTAACGTTTCCCCACTTTAAAACCAAACAAACATGGTGCTTCCGTGCCATGTTAATTTCTTTTGAAAAAAGTTGCATGTTATCACTTTTTTCGCTTTACAAAGCGCAGGCTATTTTAATTATTGTGATCAATTTGCGCCGTCAATCCCGGTGCATGCGCGCTTCATTTGCAGTCTGGACGCTGAGGCTCTGACTGCAGCGCTGAGAAGGACTCCTGCTGGAAAACACGGTTGGGGTGGGGGAGGCGCCCCACGGCAGAGTAGGAACGATACATGCTTTCACGTAAGAGTCTCCAAAAGCCGCCAGTGACACCGAAAAAAGTCGCCAGATTTGTCGCTAGTCGCTGTTTTGAAAAATAGTCGCTGGAGGGGTCTGAAAAGTCGCTGAGTTGGCAACACTGCACCCACAGCGCTGACTCGCTCTGCCATATTTTTTTTTCTTCCTATTTCAGTCAAGAGGCAGTGATGACGGCGCGGCGGATGACGCAATAATCGCGCGACACAACTACTCGATGATGAAATTCGTTGCCAACGCTTTTAAAAGTCGATTTTTATCGATTTTATCGATTCGTTGTTGCAGCCCTAGATGACACCCAATCTGGGTAATGTTTTAAACCATGTCCTCCTTAAATTTGGTTTCCAGTTGGCCACACCTAACTCTGTCATCAAGACTAGAGATCTACTTACATACCCCACCAAAACCTGTGCAATGCCCTCCTCTCACAATCTTTCAGAGAAGTTCATTGTACTGTGGAATATGAATGGACAGTGATGACACCTTGCCTTGATATGAAGCAATTACACAAGGTGTGAAAGCATCAATGATTACTGGTGTCTTTGAAAAGGGCAAAAGTAGTCCCAAACACAGCTCCTTTTGAATGATTGTTGTAGATATAGTTTAATTTAAACACCTGGTTTCATGAGAAAAGTCAACATTGGTTATAAATCTAGATTAACTTTCCCTGGACCCAGGGAATTGTATTGGATATGGATCCAAATGATGACCAACACAGCAAGGGGAAATTTGGTATGATATTAAGGAATTGTGAAAGTGGAAGGAAGGAGTGGAAATACTGTCAGACTGACAATTTTTTCTGATAGTTGAATAAAAAAAAGGTGAAAAGTGGGCCGGTTAGCTCAGCCTGGGCAGAGCGTGGTGCTAATAACGCCAAGGTCATGGGTTCAAGCCCCATACTGGCCATTTGTTCACAAGATTCTTGGATTGCACAAGAACAGATTCAAAGAACACCTTCCTGGTCATGTAGGTGTTTGGCAAACAGAGATTAATGTACACTGGGACAATGTCATGCACTGTTGAAAGTGCATAATTGCCATTGCTTTAAAAGAGAGAGCAATCCATAGCCATCTTAACTCCCTCTTACAAAAATGTACCCAATCCAAAAAGGTGAACCATAGTTTCCCTATATTTTAATTAGCTGCATTGAAAAACAGATTACGTTTTAAATAGGAAATATATCATCTTGAGAAAAAGCTCTATATAAAAGGACAAGAAATGATTTGATAAGATTGAAATTGTAGGGATCTCCAACTGTGAGAAGATAAAGACGAACTCCTTAGCCAATGAACACATCGTTGCTGCCTCTACCTAGCCCTACAATGTGATGACACCCAATCTGGGTAATGTTTTAAACCATGTCCTCCTTAAATTTGGTTTCCAGTTGGCCACACCTAACTCTGTCATCAAGACTAGAGATCTACTTACATACCCCACCAAAACCTGTGCAATGCCCTCCTCTCACAATCTTTCAGAGAAGTTCATTGTGCTGTGGAATATGAATGGACAGTGATGACACCTTGCCTTGATATGAAGCAATTACACAAGGTGTGAAAGCATCAATGATTACTGGTGTCTTTGAAAAGGGCAAAAGTAGTCCCAAACACAGCTCCTTTTGAATGATTGTTGTAGATATAGTTTAATTTAAACACCTGGTTTCATGAGAAAAGTCAACATTGGTTATAAATCTAGATTAACTTTCCCTGGACCCAGGGAATTGTATTGGATATGGATCCAAATGATGACCAACACAGCAAGGGGAAATTTGGTATGATATTAAGGAATTGTGAAAGTGGAAGGAAGGAGTGGAAATACTGTCAGACTGACAATTTTTTCTGATAGTTGAATAAAAAAAAGGTGAAAAGTGGGCCGGTTAGCTCAGCCTGGGCAGAGCGTGGTGCTAATAACGCCAAGGTCATGGGTTCAAGCCCCATACTGGCCATTTGTTCACAAGATTCTTGGATTGCACAAGAACAGATTCAAAGAACACCTTCCTGGTCATGTAGGTGTTTGGCAAACAGAGATTAATGTACACTGGGACAATGTCATGCACTGTTGAAAGTGCATAATTGCCATTGCTTTAAAAGAGAGAGCAATCCATAGCCATCTTAACTCCCTCTTACAAAAATGTACCCAATCCAAAACGGTGAACCATAGTTTCCCTATATTTTAAGGAGCTGCAGGGGTTAGCCCTCGGTTCTTGCCTGATGGGTTGCTGCATGGAACATAACAACAAGTCAGGAAGATGAGGATGAGGAATGCTGGACAACATTTTCATATGGAAAAGAGAGAAGTAAGGAGGTAAAAGGGGGAAAGGCGGTTGGGGAATCAAGAAAATAAATGGGAATTGGAAAAAAAGCAGATCAGATGAAGAAAGAGTTGTGAGAAGTAAAGGTTGTCAGAGAAAAGCTAAAATAATATTTAGATTCAGTGCTGAAGATAAACAGATTAATTTGAGGAAAGATAAACAGATTAATTTGAAAAAAAATTAACAGATTCATTTGAAAAAAGATAAACAGATTCATTTGAGAAAAATCAAATTAGAGTAAAAGCTAGGAGATGGAAACTTGCTGGTGATTTGAAAAAATGAGGAGCAAAAAAACAAAGCCTTGGATGTTGAACACCTGGGAAAACGAGAGGTCATAGAGATAAAAGTCATAGGAGAGAATTAAGCAGTGAAAGGAGTGATAACAGGAACACCAACTGACGACGATTTAGACCAATTAGACAATTACATTCTTGGGGGCCAGGTTAAAAAGATAGAGATTTTATAAAAACAGAACTTCTGAAAGAGTCTCAGAGTCAGCTCTCCCAGAAAGAGTCAACATAGATTTTATGAGTTTCCCAGGTAGGCTCTGACCCCTGTAGCACTCAGGTGCATTAATGCCTCTAAATGTGTTTTTAATGAATTTTTTCTAGAAGCACTTTTGTTATTTTTCTTAATACATTTGGGCAAGTTGGCGTTTCTTGTTATTACATTAACATTAATTTTTACCATCAAAATATCCATTTTTTTTTATGTTACAAAGGTAATAAAGTCTTGTTCTGGAATTCAATAACACTATTGGCTTAAAATTTGGATTTTCAAAGTTGTCCTTCATAGGATGCCCTATAAAGGGTTTTAATATAGTGTCATTTTGTTCCATAATCCACACCAGTATGTGCTGGTAATGCACTTTCAAATTGCTTGCCAACCACAATGAAATTTCACAGAAGAAACAAAAACAAACAAACAAAAAGGGTTTAAATTATAATCAATAAGATAGTAGGATGGACATTCTATTAGAAATATTTCATACATTATTCAGAATAAAAAATCTGGGTTTGATAGCTGTATTTGTGTGTGGGTTCCAGCACAGATTGGAGCAGAAGGAAACCAGAGGGCAGATAAAATGGCAAAGAGGGCAAATCAAAATCCTGTTTGTTTTACAGTTAAAACCAGTAAAGAGGAGGGAAAGAGTATTATTAAAGAAAGACTGATGGAAAAATGGCAACAACAAAAAAAAAGGTGGGATGAGGAAAAAACAGGAAGATGGTTTTAAAAATCAGAAGAAGTGATAACAAGTTTAAGATTTGCGCAAATTAAACTTAATTAAACTCTCACAACACATCAAAACCAAACTACTGGCAAACGTGATTACTGTGGAAAATATGAAACAATAGAACATGTTATACTGGAATGTCATAAATATGAAAGAGAGAGAAGATATATGAGGAGAGAGTTTAATGTACTAGGGAAAAGAATAATTTATTCGATATTTTGAGGAAGAATTTTGGGAGCAAACGTATACAAATAATTATTCGATTTGTAAAGAAAACTAAATTATCTCATATGCATATAAATAAAAAAAAACTTGTTCCCTTAGAATTTTTTATATATGTTTATTAGTAGATAGTTCACCACACTCCATACCAGTAAGTGGCGGTAATGCTACTAAATGTCAATAAACGCAAGAAGAAGAAGAAGAAGAAGAAGAAGAAGAAGAAGAAGAAGAAGAAGAAGAAGAAGAAGAAGAAGAAGAAGAAAAAAAAGAAAAACAAAGGTTGCAATGCTGTGATTGGACGCTGGCTGCTTGACAGGACTAAAGGGGAGTTCAATAAGGCCGAAAGCAGAAGCAGCAGTGATTGAATGCTGGGCTGATAGAGCGCTGCGGTCAATAATCTGAACGGATCAATTGATCCGTTTGTCTGCGCGGTTTCTTCCCGCTGATCATCCCCGGTCCTGGAGCCGCTAAGACAGGGAGCATCAGTCCTGCCCTGCAGACCATCATGGAGAAATGTAGCGGCGGAGCAGCATGAGAGCTGAAGCTGCATCTCTGCTCTAAGAGCTCATCTGTTTGAGAGGAAGTCCCCCTTTGATCTGCATCAGGTGAGCACATTATGAATCACCTGCAGGGAAAATGGATTAAATGTGTGAGGGAGTGTTTTAGACGGTGATGATCTAAACTACTAATGGGAATAAAGACAGGGGCGCCGCCAGGAATTTGGGGCCCCATGAAAGACATTGATATTGGGCCCCACCACAAAAACAAAGTATGTACGCTTTTAAACGGCTACAGTATATAGATGCATTGATTTAATTTATTATCACTATTTAAAGTGATGTGTGCGTTTTAAACCCTAGTAAAAGCAAACTGCTGGTGACAGATGAGACTGGATGCCATGTAGGATCGGGATTTTGGTTAGTGTTGCACCAATAAGGTCTTCAACAGGGGGTCTGCAGGCCCTAGGGGGTCCACAGAGGTACCGCATGGGGGTCACAAACGTTTTGGTTGATTAGACTTTTTTTTTTTTTATACCCCCCTGCAATTTTTCCCACTAATTGAAATGTCTTTAAATCCACATTAACATGAATCCAACAGACTGTAGTAAACAGATAAATGGAGGCAGAAGATGTCTTTCAGTCATCAATGCACACATTCAGCGACACACAGGAGCTCTTTCAAGCTGGGCCCCGTTTCATTCACAACACCTGTCCCATCAACCAGGAATCAGAAATACTTTAATAATCCCAGGGAGGGATTACTTTAGTTACATTACTCCATCTGTAATAGAGTGACTATAGGACCAGTTTGATAGAACACTATTTCATACAATATATATAATTAAGGGGTCCCCGCTCCATCTCCCCATCACTTTGGCCTGGAAAACATTGAAGACCCCTGCATTATCTGTTGGGGCCCCAATGCAGCACTAAAATAGTGGTATCGGTATTGTCGAGTACCCACAAATAGGGCACCGATACCATTTTGAGAGCCAACAGTTTCTTCAACTATTGTCACCCATTCCAGGTAGGCAATAAAAAGTTCTACTGGATCCACTTTTTATTAGTATTTTTCCTGCTTCACAGAGGAAGGCAGCAGCTTGACAAAGCCATGATGGCAATTATTTTACATCCAAGTAGTATGAAGTTCTTCATATACACACATCAATTTCTAACAGATGGTATCAGTATGGGCCAATACTACACAGCCAGGTATCGGGGCCAAAAAAAATGGCATCAGTGCAACACTAGGTTTGGTTTTGCTTTTTACTCCTTAAAAATGAGGGAGAACACGAAAAAAAAAATATTTCACTGCAGGATTTTCTTTTTATATTTCATAAAAATAGTGGGACTAATCTTCTTGTTTCGTCTCTAAAGGAATTAAATATTTTTTCCAAGCACTAAGCTCACTTAGCTGATTGCTCCTTCCTGTGTTTCCAAAAAGGCCAAAGTAAATAACCCAGTCCTTCTTTTCACTGTAGACAAGCCATGATCTGCTTCTCTGTTCTCCATTTTTCATTTGGATGAAATAATAGCTGCATGAATCATGACAGCAGACAAGATAGAGGAGAGCAGGAGGCGGGGTTACCAATCTACTGGCTCTGGAGAGCAGAGTTCGCTGCTTTTAGATGTTGTCTCCAAAGTCTCCAGTAGCAGAAAAAAGTCTCTAGATTTGGCGCTAGGAGCTTTCTAGAAATCAAAGTTCTAGAGGGGTCTGAAAAGTGGCTAAATATAGCGACTAAAGCGCTAAGTTAGCAACACTGCTCTTTGCATGGTTTGTTTTCAAATGGTTTGCTGCTGTTTGTTTGGACCTTTCTGAACATGAGCAGCAAATGGACTGATCCAATATGGGGGACACTTGGGGGGGGGGGGGGGTGGCTGTGACATGTTTTTTTATCAAGGATTTTTATCAAAAACATAATGTGCACAAATAAGGAATAGCTGTATTAACCATACACATACCATTCTTATTGGTATTTTTAGGCTTTAGTCCCTCAGCTGCGTTAAAGGTCATATTATGTATTCAAATTATTTAAAGTTCTTTAAATCTGAAATGATTCCATCCTTTTCAATAAATGATCAGTGTTTTTAATTCAGAGTAATTTTCATGTGAATGTGCTTTACTGGAGGCATCCATGTTTGTCAAAGAACACTACTGCCACCTACTGGTTTGTGACGTCACGGTGCGGTATCGGCTGTTGATCAAGTCCCAGTGCTGTATCTGGTGTTTGTCACAACGCGCTATTATCCAAGTCATCTTGAAAACATTCTTCTTCCAAATGTTGGCTACATATTACGGGTTTTTTCTCTGGCCAGAAGTTCGATGGCAAATCCTCCCTCTTCAAGTTGGTGATCCAACGTATTCCAGCATCCAGCTGCCATGCACGTGGGCATTGTCAGTTTCACTATAGCTCTGGTGAATTTCAATGGTGAAGTCCTCTGGAAATCTTCAATAATTGTTGTTGATTGCAGATGTGTCTAGTAGTTCCCATTGATTTAGCTTGGAAAGCGGGGAGAATGGCGCTAGGCTTACCTCACTGTGACGTCACTGGCGGAAGATGGCACGTGTTGCTATATTTGGGCAAAAATGGCCGCTCTGTGATCGCGAAAATTTTTCTTTTAGGCTACTGATTAATGCTAAATTCATTAAATCACAGCAAACATGAGTTTTACGTAGGTATAAATACTGATCCATCGATCATTCCTTGCTTAAAAACTTTTCCTTTTAGAGATTCCTGCTTTCAGTAATAAAAATAAACTAGTGCACAAAAATTGCTCAAAGGTAAAGTCAGAAGAAAATGGCATTTACAGTGTTTGACTGTAATAAAGTTTTACCAACTTGTTTAAAACAGTATCATTTTACCTCAGTTAGTGAAGTACCATGACTGTTACTGAATATATTCCCATGCCCTGATGTGGTTTGATTGAAAAACTGGATAAATATTATGATTGTTTTTTTGTTTTTTTTGCTTAAGGGCAGAATAAACAATCGGACTAATGACACCAGACAACAGACGCATTCTATTTCACTAAGTGCAGAATCCCTGCATGATGTTTCCTTCTTCTCTAAACATCTTTTCCTTTTCTATCACTCAGTGTCATGAATGAGCCTCGACAAAAGCTTCTACCTACATAGAGGTCAGTTTACCTCAAAACTGACTTCGGCTCGGAAGATGCTGGGAATATTTCGTGGGCGGAGAAAGTTCCTGGCAGCCTCTCTTGCCTTGCTTTTCATTCCCTCATTCACATGGCTTTACCTATCAATTGGACACTTTCAAGGTAAGAATTATGGCTGTATAGGTGGGATCACTATTTTCTACTGTTTCTTGGGTTTAAATTCTCAAACACACTCTCCAAAGTTAATTCCTGTATCTGGTTAATGTGAATTCTGCAGCTTCCTATGCCTAAGCATACATTTTCATTAAATGCCAGGGAATAGAATTACTTTGTCTTTAGACACAGCTCCCGTGGATCCTTAAAAATGCCTAAAAGGCATTTAATTCTTCGATATAAAACTAAGGCCTAAATTGGTATTACTGAGCCTGGTTCTGCTGGAGGTTTCTTCCTGTTCAAAGGGAGTTTTTCCTCTCCACTGTCGCTACAAGCATGCTTAGTGTGAGGGATTGCTGAAGAGTCAATGAGTCGAAGCATTCAACTGGTTTTCCTTAGATAGAAAACTTTGAATTTGAACTGTAAAGTGACCTGAGATGACACGTGTTGTGAATTGGCGCTATAGAAATAAACTGAATTGAATTGAAATAAGATTTTATTTTTGTAAATCATATCAAACATTAAATTACATAAATTACAATTCTTTTACGTTTACTGCATCCATTATTGGTTCCTTCCCGAATAGCAGAACCAATAAAAACCATGTTGCAGCCGTACCTTGGGGTGATCCAACGCTAGCTTTTTACCTGGACAGCATGGGGAAGGGGAAATTCAGCAAAAATTGGCAATCCAGCCTAGAGTTTTCTTCGTGGCTAAAACCAGGGCCTGGGAATCAAGGCAGTGAGTACAATTTGTAAAGCACAGTGGAACCTCCAGAAATGTTTCATAGGGGGGCCAGATGGGCAGCCTGACGTAGTCCTACTCAATTCTAGTCAGAATATGAGTCTGATGCTGCTCCATAGAGCTGTGATTATGGGGTGTGTTTCAAACGAACCAGGAAAAAAATGCCTCTGCACTCAATTGGATAGACCTACAACCATACATACATACATAGTTGTTGTCACCAAAAATTAAAGCATGCAGTTGCACGCCTAGAATAAGAAGATGAGTCTTGATCGCGTTTCTCTGTTCCTCTTTTAAAATTAATTTGCTGTCGATATCTTCTAGAACAGACCTAATAGCAGAATCTACTCACCTCAACTCTCCAGCGGCAGCCATTGTTGTTGTCACCCAAGCGCGCTTTGGTGACGTGGTTGATTCCGTTACTGTTGATCATCTGTCCATCATTGTGTAAAGCCCGCCCTGACAATTTGATTGGCCCGCCAGATATTGTGCTAGCATACTCGCGCTACTATTGAGCAATGCCAGACCGAACTTCCCGACCTCAAACTTTGTGGGCGGGACTAAGTTCGGAATGGCACCCAGGCTACCAGATGGGGCCACTGAAACTAAAAGCCATTTACGTCTGGCTGTGCATAATGGGATGAAAGGCTAAACTGGTGCACCCCCTGGTGGCACACGGGTGAAGTGTTAAAATCAGGTGACTAGGAGAAGCAGCAGGTTGTTCCCCGTACTGTCCCACCTTTATCTCTACAACGCCTACACAGCCATGTGGACCGACAATGAAAGCACAGCTATTTTGGACGAGTAGGAAAAAAAAACAAAGTTCCTAAATTCAGCTCAGTAGTTGTTAAAAATGGATCTGTTGTTTCAGCGTTTTTAACTTTCTTCCAATATAGAATTTCTTTTAAAATTTCAAACATCTACTGGGACAGGAAGTAATGGTTAAAATAAACATTTGGGTAAATTTGTAGCAACCAGAATTTTCTTTAGTGTATTGTGAAGTTGGTACTCACTTTTTATTTCAAGTGCCATTAAAAAGGCGTTTGGATTTAACTTGCCAGTAACTTGCCCATGGTGTAGGAACCCTGTTACAATTATGGTCCCTACTTGTTGCCCTATGAGCATTAGGCTTTGTATATGTCACCTGCATATAACAGACTTCCAGTGTCCAAGGTCAGCAGCTCTACCCAGATACCAATACAGCATTAACACAGTCCTGCTTTCCACTCCAGAGGTGCTGGACAGTTTGCCATAATGGGTTTAAAGCTGAGCGATACCCTCTCAGCACAGCCTCACCAAATTCTTTGGTGAGGACTTTGTTTCAAGTTTGAGGAAGTATCTCTTCCCATCCAGGAAGCTTATTCAATTCAAAATGTCAGAAATAGTGTTGACTTCCAGGTTTTATACCGTAGTACAACAAAGCCTTGTTTGTGTTTAGAAAACATGCAAATAGAAAGGGAGTCTTGTCCAGAGGAGGGCGCTCTTCTGTGTTGGGCCATGTGTCTGTGGAGAGGTAGTTTGGTTTCTCCAATATAAAGATCAGAACATTCCTCACTGCACTGAGCTGCAGACACCACTCTGCTATATTTGAATGGTTATGTTTGAAACGACATTGGGAATGATAGGGATGTTTGGGTGATTTAAATATTCTCCTAGTGGAAAGTTTTTAGTCTTTAAAAATCACAATATTTTCCAACTTGGTCAAAACCTAAAATGAAGGGTCTAAAACTTATTTTCCTTGAGGAGAGATCTTAGTGTTTCCTTTATGGTTTAAAGTTGCTCTGACTGCACATTGTGGTGCGATGTCACCAACAGTGAACAAAATGAAATTTCTTGACAATGACCTTCCTATTTTAGTTTTACTTTTGATTGCAAACATTTTGGTTCTGGTAATATTCTCAAGGTACTTCCCTCTCCAGTCTATATTTATAGAATGTTGGCTTTCAAAAGGGTTTTCTTATCCTTTATATTTGAGTTTTACATTTCATTGCACAGCTTTTGATTTTCACAAATTTCCTTTGCACACAATTTAACTTGTTGGTTATTTTAATATTGCCTCAAACATATGCATATGTTTCAGGTTATTGCCTTTAAAAAGTTTTTTTTGTGTGAACAGTAAACAATTCTTGGTGTAAATTATTGATCAAACTTGGATTAAAAAAATCAAAATGTCTAAAGATTTTCTATAAATCTTATTAAAACTAAACAATTTCATTTTCAAATATGTTCAGCTGGATGTAATTATTAATGCTGGAAAGGAAAACTTCAATACTAAACATAGAGCATCAAAACTTTTGAACATGTCTGCAAAATCCTCTAGATTTTAATGATCCCATTTTCTAACAAAGACGCCTTAAAACCGCAGTATTAAGTGTTTATAAAAATGAATAGAAAACCATTTGACTGCATGATGTGTTGTACATCAGTGCAAGGATGGTGGAAATTGCCCTTGAAGAGAAGACTTGCTTTTTATTCTAGCATAGATATTTATTTATTCCAATAAAACCTTTGCCATTCCCCTTTTTTCCTAAAACTCTCAATGATGCTGAACTGTATTCCTGTGTGTTTCTGACCTGTAAAATAAATGCATCTTTCTTCTACTCCGACAGTGAAGCCCCTCCCCCTATCTTCACTGGAAGCCCAGCCATCTTCTCCACTGGGCGACAGTAATGCGCGGGTAGCCTTGGAGCTGAGGATCCGTGCGGTGGAAGAGGAGAACAGGGCGCTGCGCCAGGAGCTCAGTCGTCCACCCAGGAACTCCTCTGCCTCCCATTCAAATGGCACCGGCCGAGGAAAGCAAAGCCGAGCTCTTTCAGAACAAGGCGCTTTTAACAATGAGGGACAGAAAAATGCAGCTGTTGGAAACGGCTCTTATTGCTCACAACAGCAACTGGTGGATAAATGTGAGGTAAGAAGAGCTTGAGTTTTGCCTTACCCCCTGATTCTAACCTTGTTTATACACACTATATCTTTAATGGCTTAAAGTAAAGCAGAGGATTAAAAATAAACTAAAGCTGACTCTTTAATGAAGCCCTCACCAAGCCTCAAAGGTGGTGGAATCAGAGTCAAGGATGTTTATAACTCAGTAGATATCAGTGACTTTTAATTATTCCAGTCTGAGCTGGGAATGACGTCACACCCAAGATAACAGCTTTTTAAAGTTGATTTATTTTATTCGTTTAAAGAAAACAACATAACAAAACCTGAGCAGTTGACAACTGAAAACAGGAATTAAAGAAAGGAGCAGAAAGAAGTTAACGTAAATTATCTGCCCAAATTTCCAATAAATTATTACCTATTTACCTCAGATAATTATGAAAATATTTAAAAAAATACACCATGTTCACCAACACACAACGAGCAACAACAAAAAAAAAATGAATAAAACCAACTATACATGGGCCTATCCACCGCCATATCGACTCATCTGAATGACCTTCAAGTTTTTAATTAAAGGTACGGTCAGCAAGAAACGATCAATATTACAATAACATGGATGCCTCCAGTAAAGCACATTCAAATGAAAATGACTCTTAATTAAAAACACTGATCATTTATTGAACAGGATGGAATAATTTAATGCCTAAAGGACTTTCAGAAGTTTGAATTCTGAATATGAGTGGACTTTTCCTTTAGACGCAGAATAAGTTTGAGCTTTCTTTAACTCAGAAATAGATTATTCCCTTTTAATAGAAATCCATCCTTCCATCATTGCTGTTCTTTACTTTGATTTGTTTGAAAATATCCATTCCTGTTAAATTATACTTACTTTCAGTTAATGAATTCCAGGAAAACTGTTAAGATCTCAGGACCGTTGTCAGCTTTAACAAACACTATGTAGGATTTGTTAGTAGGGATGCACGATATAATCGGCCCCCTATCGGTATCGGCCTTAAAACTGAATATCGGACATCGGCCACCCCACCGATATTTAACCCGATATTTGATCAGCTTCTGAGTTTCTAAAGTCTAAAAAAAAAATAAAAAATACTACTACTTCTTCTTCCTCAAAAACTTCTTTTTTACAGACTTAAAAACTTCTAAAGACGAGGGAAAAAATATTGATACATTAAAATATCCCAATATCTTCATATGCTGATATATTGCCATTTAAAAACACCATATCAATCTCTTTCACTAATGAAATATTGCTATATGTCATCGTTATGCTACGAAATCCCCCGAAAATCCAAAAAATTTTGCCATATTTTTATACGTTGATATATTGACGCGGTATCGATCTATTTTACTAACAAAATCTCACAAGAATTTGCAAAATATCACGAGAGTTTGTAACAGAACGATGAAATTTCACGAGATTTTGAAAGTAGAATAGATCGATACCGCGTTTTTAAAAATCTATTTGATATCAGCATATGAAAATATATTTGAGTATATTATTTTTCAAAGTGTCAGAAATGGATAACAAAACTGCTATTTTCAATGACTACTTATTGTTGTCCAGCTTTAACATCGGTATCGATATCGGTTATCGGCTACATGAGTTTTTAAATATCGGCATATCGGATATCGGCCAAAATCCCAATATCGTGCATCCCTATTTGTTAGCCTCTCCATTTTAGACGCATCTTTTTACAAGTGTGTGTTGCTGTTGATCTGAAGAGTTGCCGCATCAGACATGAAGGTTGCCTTGAAAAGCTCTCTGACTTTCTGATTGGGTTCCAGTTGTTCCGACTGCAGCTGGAACGCCTCGTATCCACATCACCTGGTTTTAGTTTCCCAAAGGAAAGGTGACTTGTATCCATCGTCTGCGTCGTTTAGAACCCTTTTAGTTTTTACTCAGTATTGCTGAAGCAATAACCCAGGTTAGTTTTAACAGAAGGGAACTAAAGAGTTAAGTTTTTTAACCGGTTCTTAACTGAATTTATGTTTTTTTTAACTGATGTTTAACTTATTAATTATTGTAGAACTGCATTTCTTAAGCTCTACTAGCTTTATTCTTATATATTTTATTATATGCACAGCGGGTAAAATAAGTATTAACCACACCAACATTTTTCTCAGTAAATATATTTCTAGGGGTGCTATTAACATGACATTTTCATCAGTTGTCACTAACAATCCATACAATCCAAGCATTCAAAGAAATCAAAACATAGATGTCCAGAAATGTCAATCCCTTTATTGTCCCATAATGGGGACATTCACTTTGCATTGTGACCCATCATCTTGGGGAGCAGTGGGCTGCAACTGTGTGGCGCCCAGGGAGCAGTGTGGGGTTAAGGGTTTTGCTCCTGCACCCATATTTCCGGGCTTTGGGGATCGAACCTGGTACTTTGAATTTAATTCTATTCAGTTTATTTCTATAGCGACAATTCATAACATATATCATCTCAAGGCATTTTCCAGTTCACCAAATCATCCGTTCAAACGGATTCAAAGATTTCTATCTAAGGAAAACCAGCTGATTGCATCGACTCATTGACTCCAATGCCATCGCTTTCATGTGGCTCCACCCTCTGCTGAAATGTTTGTGCTTTTTTTGTGCTGACGTTTTTTTTATATCTCAAACTGTATCCTGGTTAGGATAAAGTGTGAAATATGCTTCCCCCCTCTCCCTCCCCATAGTGACTCCTATCTTTTCACAGAGATAAAGGCAGCACTATAAGGGAACTGCCTCACAGTGGGGTTCTTGGCAGAATGCTGCCCCAATGCATGTGAGTTATGTGACGAACGGTTAATACTGAAAATAAAATCTCGATTACCATGTAAATTTTAGTTGACAATAAAGACATTGATTAATGGATTGATTCTGGATCAGTGCTCACTGAGACATTCAAAGGTTTAGAAACCAATGCCGTCCTTAAGTTTGCAAAGGGATTTAGAAAGCTCTTTACCCATCACCCATTGTGATTAGGGCTGGGTAAAATAATCGATTTAATCGATTTTAAATCGATTCCTTTACATTTTTGCAAAATCGATGTCTAGGAAATTAGAGCGATTCGTTTTGTAGTGACGCGCGTGACGTTCACATTCAAATGAGCAGGAAAGATGAACTCAAGATTACTTCAAGCCAGACAGCTGCAAATATGGCCAATAGATTAACTGAAGACATTAACAAATGGGGGCTGATCAGAAAACACCCTGTAGTTGTTACAAACAAACGCTGCTAATATGGTTTGATTCACTGAAGTTAATGCAGCTCATGCATGTCTGCTGTGTCCCCACTGTGTGACGTCTGACGTGAGTGAGGCTTCACTTTTTCAAGTTTCACAAACAAGTTTGCACGTATGAGACAGTTCACATCTCATATTTACACTGTCTGATTTACAAGTTTGCACTTTGCTTTTAATATGACAGGAAAAAATAAAATACATGAATATTTTGAAACCCAGTTGAACCACTTTCATTATTGTAAAAACAGATCGAACTGAAATTAATTGATTTAGAACTGTATGAATCAAAATCGAATCGATTCAGGACTTTGGCGAAATTACCCAGCCCTAATCGTGATGTTTTTTGTGTGATATCAGAAATTCTTTTATAAGCCATCATTTAGGTCTGAACCAGCTGATATTAATTTGCACAGACAAGGGGCAGGAATGCTTTCTAATTACTGAGATATTTCTCCTGGTGTCTTGGCTTCCCACGCACCTCTCTGCTTCACATGTTCCATACTTTTACCCTGTGCCATTCCACATTATTACACATAACTTAATTTCTGGACATCTATGATTTATCTCTTTGTATCTGTGGATTGTTACCGACATCTGGTGAAAATCTCATGTAGCACCTCTACGAATATATATTTACTGAAAAAATGGTGGCATGTTTTCTCTTTTTTGATGTTGAAAGTAACTAAATCCAGTTTGTTTACTCATTTTTCCCTTCTATCCCCAGACGATCCATGTGGCCATCGTATGTGCCGGTTACAATGCCAGCCGAGACGTAGTAACATTGGTTAAGTCTGTCCTTTTCCACAGGTACGTCTTTCTTTAGACGGCTACTACAACGTAGAGCTATATTAATGTCAATATCGTAATATTTCATATTAGTCCTTTTTTTTATTTTAATTTTTTCCTTAAATTTTAATTTAAGGGTCTGTTAAAAGTAAACCTTAACTGTGATCTACTCAAAGAGAATAGAAGAAGTTGGGCACAATAGAGAAGAAAGAAAAATTAAACCTAAATGGAAGAAACACTTTAAAGGTTATTTTTAGGCTCTAGTGGTCTTTATTATTGGGATTTATGAAATTAGGAATAGAGAAAGGGGAAAGACGTGCAGCTTGGGTCACCAGGCCAGGACTGGAACCTCTGCATGGAAGAGCAAAGCCTCCCTCTATGGGTTGTGAGTTTTAACCCCTGTGCCACTGCAGCCATCTGGAAAAAACACAATATTAATACATTTCTTTAAGCAGGATATTACAATAAAGATGTCTGTTTTTCCAAAGCAAAGAAGGAACATTTATAGCTCTGTAGTGTCATGGGAAGGGTCTGGAATGTTTTAGTGCTTTCAGTTCGATTTAGAGAGCTGTACGGCAAGAAAACCCGATTGTTTACCAAATAGGACTAAGTATTTAACCTGCACGACCATGGTGGTAAAAGTTAATGGCTTCTTGCACATTTTTTCTGTTCATTTGTTTTTTAAGTTTCTATCTGCACAGGGCACTCACAGGAGAATGAATTTGCACTAAAATGTTTTTTTTTTTGGTCTTCAGACGGAACGCTCTTCATTTCCATTTCATCACAGACTCAATCGCAAAGCAGATTCTCTCCTCTTTGTTTCACTCCTGGATGGTCCCTGCTGTCAGGGTGAACTTCTATGATGCAGATGAGCTTAAGGTGAGGAAATGAACCCTCTTATAACCACCTAACTACCAACTTTATGCAGAAATCCTCAGCATGGCGTTGCCTGTAAAACTTTAGAACAACTAGGGAAAGTGTACAACATAACCTGAGCTTTGTGATTTCTTTCCAGTCTGAAGTGTCATGGATCCCTAACAAACATTACTCTGGTATCTACGGACTCATGAAACTGGTGCTCACTAAGGCGCTGCCCTTGGACCTGCAAAGGGTCATTGTTCTTGACACAGATATTACTTTTGCCACAGACATTGCTGAACTCTGGGCTGTTTTCCACAAATTTAAAGGTATGTCCTTTTAATGCTTTGTATATTCTCCATTTAGTGTGTGGTAGAGATACAAGTTTTAGATTCAGTACTTTCTAGTGATTTATTGCAGAAAACTCCAGATTTACCAAATACGTACATTTTCATACAGTTTGTTTGATTTTGATGTTTTGTTTACTTAAACAGCAAACTAATTAGGCCATTTATGAAACTGTGACATTAGTATAGTTAAAGAGAGGCCAATCTGTGAATATATATTAAGCAAAATCACGTCTAACTCATAATATTATGTGTGACGTCCTGTAACAGGGAAGCTAAAAGGAAAACGTATTTTACAACAACAGCTCTGGGTGCCAGTGCTGCTCTCTGAAACAGGGAAGGCTCAGTGGGGTTAATTAAATCTACATGTCACATATTTCATTAGCAAATGCTGAATGTCATCGAACTCATCACTACAACTGTTGAAAATATCTGCTGTGAAGCCGAGGTCTGTTCGGCCGACAATGCATCCTTCTTTTTGCCTGTTTTGAAGGACGGGTGCGGTGTATCCTACGTAGCCTTGGGTATCCCATGATTCATTGCGAGTCAAAGCAAGCTGGCTGCTCCGTGCTCAGATGAAAATGGTACCTGGTGGCGAATAGTTGTGAATATTGGAAGTGTAGTTTAATACAACCCAAGTATGTTAATTGTTACATCTGAAATAAATGAAAATAGTTATTGAGTCAGATATGTAGCGGTAATGTTTGGTTTATCTAAAGGTTTTTATCTGTTATGTGTGAATGGGTTTGGCTGTAATTGAAGGACAGATTCTAATAGATCTGCAGTGTGGGGACTATAAATCAGATACGGTACTGCTGTTGAAGCTCCTTATTCTGCTCTCCTTCTGTGTGTCTAACACAATTCAGCAGTAAGCCTAACTTCAGTGGAATGAATGTCAGGATGTAGCTTCCTTAGCTCCACTTTCAGATTTAATCACTCTTTTAATAGGTGGGTGTTTTTACGTTTGCATGTATTTCATCCATAAATTTCCACAATTTGATCATAAGAATTTATCTCAATATTTATTAAAAATACAAAAGAAAGTTTGCAAGTTTATTCAATTCAATTCAGTTTATTTCTATAGGTCCAATTCACAACACATGTCATCTGAAGGCACTTTCCTACGGAGCCCCTCTGATGACATGGACAAAAAAAAATGTTTAATTGTGGCCACGAAGTAGTATTTCATGCACACGAAGTAGTATTTCGCGGCCACGCAATAAGTTTAACGTGCGCACAAAATACTTATTAATAATATCAATAAATCCGCCCCTGTTTTCAGGGTTATGTTAACTGTAATGACTTATCTTGGACAGACTGCTATGTAAACGGGCCTTTAGTCCTTCGTTTAGCTAAGCTGCGGTTGTTTACACTACGCCTTTTCCACCTAAAATGGCGTCTTAGCAACAAATGTCACGTGACTGGCGGAGACCGACTGGGTAAGCAAATCGAGCGCGCCTTAGACCTTAGTGAAGGCGCACTCGATTTGCTTACCCAGTTGTCCAGGAATGATATTAATATTATTAATAAGTATTTCGTGCGCACGCTATACTTATTGCGTGGCCACGAAATACTACTTCGTGGCCACAATTAAAAATTTTTTTTGACCATGTCATCAGAGGGGCTCCGTACTTTCCAGTTAACCAGATCATCCAGTCAGATTGATTCAGAGTTTTCTATATAAGGAAAACCAGCTGATTGCAGCGACTCATTGACTCTTCAGCAATCCCTCACACTAAGCATGCTTGTAGCAACAGTGGAGAGGAAAAACTCCCTTTGAACAGGAAGAAACCTCCAGCCTTCCTCAGACGAAGATGAAGAAAGCACATCCAGTTAGTCAGAGAAACAGGACTACACTGGAAAACAAGCCAAGCTCCAACATCTAGAAACAAAGGTGTTGATGGCAGCAGCACAGCTGATGTTTCTCTCCAGGATGGAGTCACAGCCAAACAGGAACAGACCAGATGAAGCTACTATGAGAAAAAGCAGAGAGAGCAGAACGTTAGAGATTGAACTAACAGATTCTGCAGAGTGGGAGAATAGAGCTAGAATGAAGCAGAATGATGAAAAAGGGGTCCCTATGTCCTCCAGCAGTCTAAGCCTATAACAACATGACTAAAGAGACAGCTCATTCATGTAAACCTTAAGAAAATGAAGCACTTAGTATTTAAAAGCCTAACCATGAAACACCTGAATTATGCTCTATTTCAGGTCAGCAGGTATTGGGTCTAGTGGAGAACCAGAGTGACTGGTATCTGGGAAATCTGTGGAAGAATCATCGACCATGGCCAGCACTAGGTAGAGGTTTCAACACAGGTGAGTACGCCTAAGTTTGGCGCTACTTTAAACTAAATCATCAACAAACTAATTTCAACTGCTACAATTTTCCAAATTGGTTTGAAATCAGATGATTTAACCTGGTGAAAGAAATCCATTTATTGCTAAAATACAAACATGAAACTTTGTATCTTAAAAAGTCTCTTTTTTAAGTTCAAAGTTGTACTGAACAATATTTGTAACTGCGACTTAATCAGTTTCTGTTTGTTTTGTGTTTATCTTGGTGTTCATGCATGTAAAAAACAAAAAAAAACAACCTCAGGGGTTATTTTACTGCTCCTGGATCGGTTACGAAAGGTCAGATGGGAGCAGATGTGGAGGTTGACTGCAGAGAGAGAATTGATGAGCATGCTGTCCACCTCACTGGCAGACCAGGTAAAAAACCTTCACATGCATTCTTTGCCACCTGCACAAACTTTATCAATATGTTTTAAAGTTTTTAGAAACACATTAGATAATTTTATACTTGTTCAGTTTTAACAGAAATAAGCTTAAAGGCAACTAGTCATGTACTATGCCTGCATACAACACCAAAAACTGTGCTTTCATGTTAAAACACTGCCACCCAATTAAATCCATCAGTTTACCAGCTTCAGCAGCTTCTTTTCCCTTTTCAATGAACATTTACATTGACTCTTCAGCAATCCCTCACACTAAGCATGCTTGTAGCGACAGTGGAGAGGAAAAACTCCCTTTGAACAGGAAGAAACCTCCAGCAGAACCAGGCTCAGTGTGAGCGGCCATCTGCTGAGGCAGACTGGGGTTCAAGGAGACAGAAGCAGACATAGAAAAAGAAGCATAGATACAAAAGGCAACTGTCAACCAGCTCCACAGGCGGCCCCGTCCAGGAAACACACAGCCAGGCAGACGAGCTCCGAGCCAGCTCCCATGTCAGAGGATGAAGAGAGCACATCCAGTTAGTCACGGTCAGAGAAACAGGACTACACTGGAAAACAGGCCGATCTCCAACATCTAGAAACAAAGGTGTTGATGGCAGCAGCACAGCTGATATTTCTCTCCAGGATGGAGTCACAGCCAAACAGGAACAGACCAGATGAAGCTACAACCAAGAGCTTTTGCACTATATGCTTTGTATTCATTCCTCGTTTTTTCTAAACTACATACCTTACATCTAACTACATTTATGGCAATTATCTGAAGATTTAAACTTTGCTCAATGTCTACATTTTAAACATTTGTTTATTGCTTTACTAAAGAAAGCTAATTTCAGGGTTTTTTTATGCAAATTTCAGTGATGCATACATTTCCTTTTCTTTATTTTTTCAGCTCACTTTATAAAAGTTGCTCAAAGGCTTCATGCATGACACTAATTGTAAGATGAAGGTCATAGATAGCTTAAGACTTGCATTGTGGTGTTGAGGCTACAGGAGATGTTATCTCCTTTGCCAAACACAAGGAGATAACATCAACAACATGAATGACAATATAAACCTCTTTGTGACCAACAATACAATAGAAGAACAGTTAAAGATTTCCCAATTAACAAGGTCTGCATCACCAGTGATAAACATACAAGAAAAGCATTGAAGGCTCTTTTTTATTGTAAAACCATAATTATAATCTGGCTCAGAATCCATAAATAAAACAAAGACAGAAATTATAAATATTTATTTAAAAAGATTGAAAGAATAACGAACAAGCATTCTTAGAGGACATCCGTAAAATATAGAATACCTTTGGAAAACGCAACATATTAAACACCCTGAGGTATAAATTGGTAGAGAAACTCATGGAGGAGAAATTGAAAAGCAGTTGTTGAACACAGTGAGAGACCCCTTCGGTGTATTGCTGAATCGCTTTACTGATTGACAGTCTCTGTGACTGTTCTCGCTCCTCAGGGAGGCTTATTGATTTGAATGATTGGGTTAATGGCACGTTTCTTAGCACTACCAAAGCAGCAAGCAAAAAATAAATAAATAACTGTTTTCTAAGAGATGCTATTGAAAAAAATCTATATTACCGTATCAAGTATTCCATTTTTCAGACATTCATCTTTTCTTTAAAATATATAAATAAATATTATAAATATTAATATTTTAAATACTTAAAAATATATATATTTAAATTAGGAAAGCTCTAAAATATCTATGATTATGGATCAAGTTACCGTATTTCATGATGAGTAATTAATCATTTTATCTTCTTCCGGGTGGATCGTTAAAGTAAGTGGTCCCCTTAAATGAAAATGTACAAGAAAAAAAAAAACAAAGCTTCTGACTTACAACAATATACCCAGGTGTCAGCAGTATTTAAATGTGATCGCCTTATATCTTCTCACAATTTGTGATATCCATTTTAATTTATATAAAAGATCTCTATCTATAGTTATGGCTCACCATGCAAGCATAAATAACTCTCTACTTCTAAATGTCTTTGAGTTTGATCGATGATCAAATTTTGATGTAACATGAAACTGAATCTCAACCTTTAGGAAAAAATCTTTTGGGTTGCAGGACAACTCCAAAGGATCCCTTTAGACTCTCTATAGGGATGGGAATCGAAAACCGGTTCCTGTTAAGAACCGGTTCCGTATTTTCCGATTCCATGGCATCGTTTGGCAGCTCGCTGAATGATTCTGTTTTTCGATTCCCGCAGCACCAGAGCCTAGAGCGCCGGCTCTGGGGAGCACGACTTACGTCACGTTTTTTACGTAAGTTACGCAAGTTACGCAAGTTGGAAGAACTATTCGAGGAGGAAGACAACGAGCTGCGGTCGCTTTGTGAATCAAAGCCCCGTCTTTCCTTAGCCCAGAGGGTAGATCAGGAAATCCAGCTCTATAAAAGCTTGCCCTCCATCCCCTGCAGGGATAGCGCCACACTGTGGTGGTGGAACAAGCAAGATACGCTGCCCTTGCTATCTGGACTGGCTGAAAACTACCTCTGTGTGCAGGCTTCCTCCACCCCATCTGAGAGGGTGTTCTCCACGGCTGGAGACGCCATAAGCGCTGAAAGATCCCGTATCCTTCCAGAAAAAGCAGATATGCTCATCTTTCTGCAAAGAACTGTTAATTTTCCCTACTACTGTTTTATAATTAGTATTTTTTGTTATTTAAAATAGGTTATTATCCCATCATTTGTTATTAGACATTGTTGGTTATTAAGTTTGTTCTTGTATTCATTTTTCATTTAAACACAGATGTTACTCCAGTTTCACATTTCCTGTGGACATCTTGATCTTGTTGAGTTTGTAAGATTGTGCAATAGTTACGTAAACAAAGTTGATTCTGATAATCAAACTGTTTGTTCTCCTTTTTCCCCCAAATTGGAATCGAAAAAAGAATCGATAAAGAATCGAATCGTTTCATAGAATCGAAAAGGGAATCGGAATCGTGAAAATCTTTTCAATTCCCAACCCTAACTCTCTAGTGGTGTCTGCAGAGAAAGAGATTATCAACAGGGGAGAGGAAGTGACACAATAATCCCATTAGGAAGGCCAGCTCTGTCCTATAAACCTCTTAACCCACAGCAGGTGGTGAGGATAGGGCTCCAGCAGAAATGGCATCATTCTTTGACTAAATCTCCAACTTCAACTTCTATAAAGCATAGATCTTTTCTGGTTACAGTACACTACACCTTAAAGGCTCAAAGAAGTGTTGTTTGAGGTTGGTGGAAAATTCCCTCACAACAAAAATGATATTTCTAATGTTTTTCACAAGTGGGCTGTTTAATACTGTGGCAATTTAAAAAAGATTCTCTGTTGCTATGAGGTGGTTTGATCTAAAGTTGGACGATACGGCCTGAAGTTATGTCATGAAATCTTTTTTAATTTCAGTCGATACGATAAAGTCTTAATACCAAAATAAATAAAATGATAGCCTGCTAACAATCCCTTCAACAGAATACAAACAAATGACAATTATTTCATTTTATAAAACACCTCAAACATATCATTAAAGAATTATATGCTTTAAAAAATGATTCCACTCAGTTTACTGTGATATTTACATATTGGAGATGTGATTTCACCATCATTAAATGAAGTTGGTTAAAATTCTCAGTCATCCAGGCCATAGTCATTTAAAAAAAAGGTTGGGGAAAAAAACAATCCACTGGACTTAACCTTCAATACCTGATGCTGATCTATGCCTCTGAAAGGGGAGTCGTTGGGGGCATTTTTGGCCTGGCTGACCAGGTAAGAAGTTGTGGTCCCCTGCATGGTGATGGGGGTTGAGATGATGGAGGGGAGGGATCGACTCTATCACTGCTTTTTAGGTTTTTGAGAGTTGAAGTCCACCACCTCTGTTTGAGGTTGGCTTTTCTTTCTTAACATAAATGGAGTCCTTCAATTCCCTTTTAAACCACCTGTCTTCTTTTTTCAAAATGTTAACTGTCCCATGTTGGGCCATGCATCTGTGGAGAGGTTGTTTGGTTGTTTTTCAGAGATTATACAGTATGTTACTTGAGCCTTTTAAAAACTAAATAGGACATTCTCCAAAGACAAAGTCCCAGTACATTTCAAACCAAACAAGACCCAGACTAGTGCTGCCTAAAGATAAAACCTCAAGACCTAATGAATGGACTGGTGTCTGCAGTTCAATACAGAGAGAAATGCTCTGATGTTTATATCGGAGAAACCAAACAACCTCTCCACACATTTTGGGCAAAGAAGACAGGTGGTTTGAAAGGGGTCTAAAGGAAGCTATTTATGTTAAGAAAGAAAAACCAACCTTAAACAGAGGGGGGGGGGACTCTCAAAAACCTACAATGCAGCGATAGTTAATTCCGTCCCGCTATCATCTCAACCCCCCTCCCCATGCAAGGGACCAAAACATCTCCCCAGGTCAGCCAGGCCAACAATTCCCCTAACGACTTCCCCCCAAACAGGGCTTTGTTGGGCTACTCTATAAAGCTTGGAACTCAAGGCTAATTCTAACATTTTTAATTGAAAAAGCTTCCTGGATGGGAAGAGAAACATTTTCAAGCTTGGAGACAAAGTAAAGAGGATTGTCTTGTTTGTTTGTTTTTTTACCTTTTTGGAATTAAATGAAGTTGTATTACAATATTTGTTGATAATTAACTAATTTGACCTCTCTGTTCTCTAACCTTTTCATTGTGGACTTTTGGCCTTTAGGACATCTTTAATGCGGTGATCAAGCAGAACCCATTCCTTGTTTACCAGCTTCCCTGCTTTTGGAACGTCCAGCTTTCAGACCACACTCGCTCAGAAAAATGCTACAAGGATGTTTCAGACCTGAAGGTGAGTTCCAGTTTTTAGGGCTTCACCAATCAGCCTTTGCAGTTATTAACAACAAGTGTTGGAGGTACAGTGAGGATAATAAGTATTAGAACACCCTGCTATTTTGCAAGTTCTTTCACTTAGAAACCATGGAGGAGCCTAAAATTGTTATCGTAGGTTTATAAATCACAATGTGTTGCTTTTTAACTATTAATTTGTATGATACAGCTGCAAATAAGTATTTGAACACCTGAGAAAATCAAGGTTAATATTTGGTACAGTAGCCTTTGTGTACAATTCCAGAGGTCAGACGTTTCCTGTAGATTTTCACCAGGTTTGCACTCACTGCAGGAGGGATTTTGGCCCACTCCTCCACACAGATTTTCTCTGGATCAGTCAGGTTTCTGGGTTGTTGCTGAGAAACTCTGAGTTTGAGCTCCTTCCAAAGATTCTCTATAGGTTTGAAGTCTGGAGACTGCTTCTTCTAGAGCCGCTCCATGGTTATCCTGGCTGTTGCTGCTTCTGCTTCTTGCAGAGCCACTCCATGGTTATCATGGCTGTGCGCTTCAGGTCATTGTGACGCTGGAAGACCCAGCCTCCACCCATCTCCAATACTCTAACTGAAGGAAGTAGGTTGTTCCCCAAAATCTGTCAATACATGGCAACGGTCATCCTCTCCATAATACAGTGCAGCCCTGTCCCATGTGCAGAAAAAAAAACCCAAATCATGATGCAACCACCTCCATGCTTCCCAGTAGGGATGGTGTTCTTGGGATGGTTCTCATCATTCTTCTTTCTCCAATCACGGTCAGTGGAATTATGACTAAAAAGGTCTATTTTGGTCTCATCTGACCTCATGACTTTCTCCCATGATTCTTCTGGATCATCCAAATGGTCGCTGGCAAATTTAAAGGTATAGAGTGGAGGTCTTTAACAGGGGGTCTGCGACCCCTAGGCGATCAAAGGAGGTACTGCATGGGGGTCGCAATAGTTTTGGTTGATTAGACTTCTTTTTTATATTTCCTGCTGGAATTTCTTCCACTAATGGAAATGTCTTTAAATCCACTTTAACATGAATTCAACAGACTGTAGTAAACAGATAAATGGAGGCAGAAGATGTCTTTCAGTCATCAATGCACACATTCAGCGACACACAGGAGCTCTTTAAGCTGGACACCGTTTCATTCACAACACCTGTCCCATCAACCAGGAATCAGAAATACTTTAATAATCCCAGGGAGGGATTACTTTAGTTACATTACTCCATCTGTAATAGAGTGACAATAGGACCAGTTTGATAGAACACTATTTCATACTATATATTATTAGGAGGTTCCTGCTCCATCTCACCATCAGTTTGGGGGCCCCTTGGCCTGGAAAATAATGAAGACCCCTGGTATAGAGGACAATGTTTTATTTCTGGGTGGATCATCTAAATCGGTGGTAGTCGTAACTGTCAATCCTTCTGGTGATATGTTTACTTAAGACCGTCCTATGTGCTCGTCCCGTTGGCTATCTTTTTCTCCACACTTTCAGGCATATATCTGTGGTGATCTACGGTGTCAGATGACTTCTAAGTGGGAGAACTTGAGAAAATAGCAGGGTATTCAAATACTTATTTTCCTCACTGTGTGGCAAAAGTAGTTTTAAGCAGATGACCTCCTCCTTTTTTTGGTTCTTCAAAACAGGTAATCCACTGGAACTCCCCCAAGAAGCTGCGGGTCAAGAACAAGCATGTTGAATTCTTTCGGAATCTGTACCTAACTTTCCTGGAGTATGATGGCAACCTGCTGCGACGAGAGCTGTTTGGCTGTCCGAGTGAGGCTGACCCCAACAGTGAAAATGTGGGTAGAAACACTTCTGAAATCCCAGCTAATGCATCAGATTATTTGCATCAGACAATTATTGAAGAGGTAAGCTCCTAGCTAGCACTCGTGTTCTATAAATAGTTATTTTAGCTGTTAAATGGCAGAACTAAAAAAAAGAGGAAAATGTGCTGCTTTGCGGTTCTTTTCCTACACGGTGTGCAGAGAGGGATCTCTTCTGGCTTCATCTGATGGGCATAGCAGCATCAGAATCGGTGAATTCAAAAAGCTCAACAGGTTGAAACCCCCCAGAAAAACTCAACGAATCCGATTTTAGTTTGGATCTGACAAAATCACGTTGGACGAGATCATGGCGTTCATTGAGCGCTTATTGAGTCTTTCGATTTTCTGCAGGGTGCTAGCTTCGGCTATTTTAGTCAGACTACGCAGCAATTTAGCAGCAATTTTATGGCCTAACAGCAAGAGAGATGTGGTTACAAAGTAAAACACACTGGCTTTTGAAGAATATGCAAAAATCTGTCAATTGCAACAGGAAACAGTTTTTGGAGTCACAAAACGCATATATAGCATGCACTGCAGAATTAAACATTTAAAGGAAAAGTCCGGTCAGCAAGAAATATTCAATGGATCGTTATTTATACCTAAAACTAATACGTTCACAGTGATGTAATGAATTTAGAGTTGATCAGTAAAAAAATTAAGATAAGCGGCCATTTTTGCCCAAATATGTTAACACCACGGTAAGTCTAGCGCCATTCTCCGTTCAAACAAAACATGTTCCATGCTTCACAGGATTCTGCTATTGCTCTCACTCTGATTCCTGGTTCTGGTCTTTGACTGACGGACTGAGGTTGAGACTGAAAATGGTGACTGTGACTGGTAAAAAACCGTATGACCATCCATGTGAATAGTGAGCTATCTAAGACCTACCTTTTTATAATGGGAAACACATCCCAAGCTAAAATTATTAACTAATTAAATGAATCACTAACCAAGAAATAAATAACAAATCAAACTACATAATCTAAATTCAAAGATTTAACAGAAAATGGAAAAATGGCTCCTATAGTAATAATTTAAGTACTTTCAAAAGTTTAAATTATGAATATGACCGGACTTTTCCTTTAAAGTTGTAAGGAAGTCATATTTAAATGTTAAATCATTCTGGCTTAAACATGTACTGTATATAAATGTACTCTTTATCAGACCATAATGTCCCAAAAGTTAGAAAATTTCAATTTGAAAAAAAAAAAAATCCTGCCTTAAATTTTTTTTTTTTTTTGTTATCTTATGCAAGCTAGTTAGTTATACGTCAGCCTGAACACCTGAAAACGGTTATCTGTCAATCAAATTTTTTCTTTCACAGCATCTTGATTCATATGTAGCAGCTAATATACGCAACGGTTGAAATCAGAATCCTTTCCTTTCCCATTGAGTTGCGTCCCAGTGTTCACGGGGATGGACGTCTGTGTCTTCAGCAGGCGTAGAGCTAACAGAACTGGCAGCGTTGCGAGGCAAGGGCTCAAACATGTACGGCTGGAAGCCTTCTACACCAAACCAAGCTTCTGCCGCCCTGGCGTCCTCTTCCACAACATCTTCGTCCCCGCTTTCCTCCTCTAAATAAAAAATGGATGACGGAGGAGACTCATCCACGACCTCCGACACTAAACTCTCCTCCTCTTGCATGTTTCCTCTGTCCATAGCGTTCCTTGACAGTGTCGTTTCTAAGTCACCAATTTAGCGCTACTTGGTCCCAATGGAATTTCCCATTGGGAACCTACTAGCACTGAGTTGCTAACTGGTTAGCAAGATGCTTCCGAGAAACCGGACACAATCAAACTTGCTTGCGAACCTTCCGCCATAACAATCCCGCCCCCTTGATAATCGACCAATCACATTCACTTTATTCACTCGTGTAAAGTCGGGCACCACTCAGGAGAATTTAGAAATGCAACGGTTGGAACAGCCGCTTCCCTACGACGTTCAGGAGGACAGAAAATGGATAAAGTAAAATAGTGATTATCTTTGAGCCTCACAAATAAACAATAACTTGGGGCAGACAGTGCAGGTGGCCGTAGCTTATCACTCTCCCCTCTTTATGAAAATAAAAAAAAAACTTCACAGATCTCTCCCTGAGAATCCCCTCTCACTGCCTCACCCAGTACTCTCCCACAGCGATCATTGATGCGTTTCCCTTTTCTTTAAATTTAGTCCCCATTATATTTCTAATATAAGCCTATAAAATTATCCATCTGTTCTGGTTATAGATGCTCACAAGTTTGGTCGTAAAGTTTGACTTGGCTTTGTAGCCACAACATTTAAAAAATAAAAATCTTTCCTAGTCTAATGATTTTTAATTCGTGGGGCACTGGGACGTAACTGAAAGAAAATCTGCTCACCCTGCATAGCCGCAGCCTCCCTATACGCAGTCAGTGTGACATGGAATAAAAAATGAAAGGGTATCAGAGATTAAAAAGTTGCATTAACTGGTGTGACCTGGCCTTAATTCTGTTATTAGCCAAACTATTTTAAATATTCTACCAACAAGATAACGAAGGATCCTTTAGAATTTCAATTTAAAAAAGTTTATCACAAAATGACAAAAATACATTAAAACATTCCTCATTGTTTAGAGGGAAGCGGTGCTTAGCTTATAAATGGCATGCAGCAACATTTAAACTATAGCAATCCTTCAAATGAATGGGTCTTTTTCAGAGAACATGTGGAGCATGGTTTAGGTCAGAGGTCACGGACCGCGGTCCGGATCCGGACCCACCTGCTGGCTAATCCGGACTCAACCTGATTTAAAACATTTATAAATTACTGCATTTTGTCCGAAGACAGTGTCTAACTTCACTTGCGCCTCTTCTCCTGTTAATACGGTAAAGCCCTGGGGAGCTCCAGGCTGCACATGATCCAAATGAGCCAATGAGCTGTCAGTCTGGGTTGCTGCTGCTGCTACTTTTAGACACAGCAGGCAAACCTATGGCAAGCCAGGCGATGGGAAAGAAGGAGAAGACGATGAGAAAAACAGAGCAGAGAAAGTGTGGACTGCTGGAAGAACTGCGGTGAACTGGTGAAAGAAAAGTGAAATGGCGTGCTCAAAGATTACCCTGAACATTTAGAGGATGTTTGGCTCAACCTGCTGCTGTGAAGCAGGATTCTCCACCATGAACAGAATCAACAATAAATCTGGATCCAGGCTCAAAATGAGCTCCTTCATACAGGTGCTGGTCATAAAATTAGAATATCATGAAAAAGTAGATTGATTTCAGTAATTCCATTTAAAAAGTGAAACTTGTATATTATATTCATACATTACATACAAACTCATATATTTCAGATGTTTATTTTGTTTAATTTTGATGATTACAAATGACAACAAATGAAAATCTCAAATTCATCATATCAGAAAATTAGAATATTGTGAAAAGGTTCAAACTTGATGGCCCCTGGTGCCACACTCTAATCAGCTAATTAACTCAAACCACCTGCAAAAGCCTTTAAATGGTCTTTCAGTCTAGTTCTATAGGCTACACAATCATGGGGAAGACTGCTGACTTGACAGTTGTCCAAAAGACGACCATCGACACCTTGCACAAGGAGGGCAAGACACAAAAGGTCATCGCTAAAGAGGCTGGCTGTTCACAGAGCTCAGTGTCCAAGCACATTAATAGAGAGGCGAAGGGAAGGAAAAGATGTGGTCAAAAAAAGTGTACAAGCAAGAGAGATAACCGCACCCTGGAGAGGATTGTGAAACAAAACCCATTCAAAAATGTGGGGGAGATTCACAAAGAGTGGACTGCAGCTGGAGTGAGTGCTTCAAGAACCACCACACACAGACGTATGAAAGACATGGGTTTCTGCTGTCGCATTCCTTGTGTCAAGCCACTCTTGAACCACAGACAGCGTCAGAAGCGTCTTGCCTGGGCTAAAGAGAAACAGGACTGGACTGCTGGTGAGTGGTCCAAAGTCATGTTCTCTGATGAAAGTAAATTTTGCATTTCCTTTGGAAATCAAGGTCCCAGAGTCTGGAGGAAAAGAAGAGAGGCACTTCATCCACGTTGCTTGAAGTCCAGTGTAAAGTTTCCACAGTCAGTGATGGTTTGGGGTGCCATGTCATCTGCTGGTGTTGGTCCATTGTGTTTTCTGAGGTCCAGGGTCAACGCAGCCACATACCAGGAAGTTTTAGAGCACTTCATGCTTCCTGCAGCTGACCAACTTTTTGGAGATGCAGATTTCATTTTCCAACAGGACTTGGCACCTGCACACAGTGCCAAAGCTACCAGTACCTGGTTGAAGGACCATGGTATCCCTGTTCTTAATTGGCCAGCAAACTCTCCTGACCTTAACCCCATAGAAAATCTATGGGGTATTGTGAAGAAGAAGATGCAATACACCAGACCCAACAATTCAGAAGAGCTAAAAGCCACTATTAGAGCAACCTGGGCTATCATAACACCTGAGCAGTGCCACAGACTGATCGACTCCATGCCACGCCGCATTGCTGCAGTAATACAGGCCAAAGGAGGCCCAACTAAATACTGAGTGCTGTACATGCTCATACTTTTCATGTTCATACTTTTCATGTTCATACTTTTCAGTTGGCCTACATTTCTATAAATCCTTTGTTTTTATTGGTCTTCAGTAATATTCTAATTTTCTGATATGATGAATTTGAGATTTTCATTTGTTGTCATTTGTAATCATCAAAATTAAACAAAATAAACATCTGAAATATATGAGTTTGTATGTAATGTATGAATATAATATACAAGTTTCACTTTTTAAATGGAATTACTGAAATCAATCTACTTTTTCATGATATTCTAATTTTATGACCAGCACCTGTATGTGCTTGAGAAAGGCTTAGTCTCCGGTTAAACCCAGGTTTAAAGCCTTGCAGGGCAGCCTAAAGCCCACTGCCAACATTAAGACAGAAAAAAGAAAAATAACAAACGCTCAGTTCAGGTGCTTTATAAAATATGGGAATCAGGAAATTATCTATAAACCAAACTGAATTATTGTTGTTCTCTATTTAAAATAAAAAACGCTTTAGATTTTAAAAGATTTTTTTTTTTTTATTATTATTTAAAAATTCAATGTTCATGGATGTTTCATGGATGCATAAAAACCTCATTTTATTTCAGTTAAATTCTGTTTAAAGTAACAGATTTTGATTAAAAATGTCTCCGGACGTTTACTTGATGATTTTCTTTATTTGCACCCGCCTGATTTTTTAATTGGTTACCCCTGGTGTAAACGGGGAACACTGGTGGGATTTTTCTCAGGTGAGAATTTAGCAATCCTTTGCCAAACAATTGTTATCTTTCCTGTGCCTGCAGCTGCAAAAGACTCTTTCAGAGCTTGACGAGGATGACCCCTGTTACGAGTTTCGACGAGAGCGCTTCACCGTTCATCGAACGCATCTTTATTTTCTCCACTATGAGTATGAGCCGAGCTCTGACAACACTGATGTCACCCTTGTTGCCCAGCTATCTATGGACAGGTAATACCGCAATTGTTTAAACATTTTTTGTAGATCTATTAAAAAACTGGAATAATAGTGACTTATTTTTATATCCATACAGGAAACAAATTCTGCATTTATTTTATGAGATTAATTGAGAAACATGACCCACTGGTGATATTTGCTTCTGTCTCCTTGAACCCCAGTCGGCCTCAGCAGATGGCCGCTCACACTGAGCCTGGTTCTGCTGGAGGTTTCTTCCTGTTAAAAGGGAGTTTTTCCTCTCCACTGTCGCTACAAGCATGCTTAGTGTGAGGGATTGCTGAAGAGTCAATGAGTCGATGCAATCAGCTGGTTTTCCTTAGATAGAAAACTTTGAATCAATCTGACTGGATGATCTGGTGAACTGGAAAGTGACCTGAGATGACATGTTGTGAATTGGTGCTATAGACATAAACTGAATAGAATTTAATCTGACCTTGAGTTTGTCTGTGCAATGGTCACTGCACAGACATTCTGATGCAAATCTAAGCCTTCTCAACTTATTTCCAATGGGCAAAAGAAAAAAAATGCTGGTGATAATCCCTTTACATGGCTTTACACCAAGATGCATTACAAAACTGACTTAAGATCATTTTTGCAGTGCTCAGTAAGGAAAGTGACACAAAATATTAGCTTTCTCTTGAACATTTGACTAGTAACCATGCTGAGAAAAGGTGTGTATAAATTGGATGCGCATCATTGGCCCAAATTTTAGAAAATCATTTGAATAACTCACCAAGAAGCCGCCCATCAAGCACCAGGCCAATGAAATTAAATTAAAAATAGATATATACCAAAAACCAATCAAACGTATACTAAGTTATCACACCATTATATTATAATAATGCCAACAACAAAAAACATTATAAAAACACTCTTTAAAAACAAACATAATTTCACATACAGGTTTACCTTTAGTACATGTATCCGTTTAATAATGGAGAAGCTATTAGTCAGCTTTATATTGTTTCAATGTGTAAAATTAAAAATATTTTCCTAAAATATGTTTATTTAAGAGCAACTATACAAATTAACAAAAACTAGAAAAAGAAGACTATATCCTATTATTTTCCATGTGAATCCCAGATTGTTCATTCTTCTTTGCCTTTTCTAAAAAGTGCTTTAAATCAGTCCCTGTCTTTATCCATGCTGGCTCAGATCCTGACATTTGAAAAAGGAGGCTAAAGTGTTAGCCTCACTGCATGCAGTCAGCCAAGCCTTGTAGCTAAGTCAGGTCCTGGAAAGGACATTTCTTGCACCATTTCTCTCCTAAATTCTGTCCTAAGCTACCGGATCCTTCTACCAACCCATCTAAAATACATTTCTTCCCTAAAAGGCCATCAGCACAGATGGTTCTAAAATAACTACGCTTGGAGACTTAAGGCATTAAATGAGTCATTATCTTGTACCAGAAAACTTTGAGCAATTTGCATCTTCTAATAAGGCTAAGCTCATTGGTGTTAATCTCACTGTGGTTCAGCTTTGATATGCACCCATGTAATTATATACTTGTTAATATACAATATGATTTAATTGTGGGTCTCTGGTAACTGCCACATATTTGCATATTGGTTTTGTATCATTAATAGTTTGAAGCATCTCGTCTAGGAGTCTTCAGCAAACCTGTACCAAGAATTTAAACACAATGTATTTTAGGAAGTTGGTTTCTGGTTGGTCTGGGGGGAGAAAGCAGATCAGTTCAATTCAGTCCAGTAATGAATTCCAAGGCAATATGAGACTACCGATGTTTAGATAGGCAATGGTTGACGAAGACCACTGGAAGGGTGGTGACTAGCTTTGTTGCAGGCACACACTGGACAGGCTAGAACAGGCATGCTGTCCTGGAGGTTTTAGAGGTTTCCCTGCTTTTAGCACAGCTTATTCTGATGATTGTAGTTCAGCAAAAGCCTATTTATCAGCAATCAAAGAAAACCAGCTGTGCTAGAGCAGGGAAACCTCTAAAGGCTGCCAGTTTTTGGCATACCTGGGCTAAAACATAACATTTAACATATATAACAACACAGTTAAAATAGGAAAACAGACATTTTGTTTCTTGGAGGTAGGCCAGATTCTTGCGATCAGTGGCGCCACTCTTCAAAATGCATTTTTATGGCTAAGAGCTCTCTCTCGCCCACGTTGTAGGTTTGTAGAAGACACATGGATGTAGTTTTTATAGACAGAGGAAATATGAGACCAGACTGCACCACCCCCATGTCAGAGGCATCAACTTCAAACACACATTGTTTCTCTGGATCCGGCGGAATAAGAATTGAGGGCATTGGTGTACTTTGCCTTGAGCTCTGAAAAAGCCCTTTTGCCTTCAGAACACCAAATAAAAGGGTTTTTGGAGGAGGTTAGGTTAGTGAGGGGTTGAGCAATTGTACTGTAGTTTTTAATGAATCTGAGGTAGAAGCGGGTGAATCCTGATAAAACGTCGCTGGTTGTGAGTTGAAAGAGTAAGCCATCACTGGATCTGTCTTCACCTGCCCACTTTCAAGAATATGCCCCAAATAGGTGACTGATCTGGCATGAAGCTCACACTTCTTGACTGACAAAAAGTTGGTTCAGAAGACGCTGGAAAACTTGACGCGCATGGAATACCGAAGAGAGATGATCCTTTGCAGCCTCACATACATGCTGGTCATTTAGATTGAGAAATACTTTCAACAACACGGGTCGGTCCAGCCTCCAGCAAAGATCCTTTCTGTGACAGGAAGCTCACTTACACCAGAAAAACAGCAAAACCCCAAAGACTTTAACATAGATGGCTTAACCCTGGGAACAGTTTCTTTAAACCATAGTTTATTATATTTGAAACCTGTTTATCTGAATTCAATAACAAATTTTTCTGTGTATAAAATATATTGCTCAGGAATAATTCTCATTCTTTTCTTATGAAAACTGAACATCCTTTACTGTCTCATGTAGAATGGATTAAACCATTGCATTGCATATTTTGGGTCAAAAACGGATGCTGACTGTTTGAGCTGAAATTCTCATAGTAGCTATAGAAGTCTGGTGGTTGGATCATAAATAATGTCACAATACTTGCTCTTTCTCTCCTGTAGGCTCCAAATGTTGGAAGCGATCTGTAAGCACTGGGAAGGTCCCATTAGTTTGGCCCTATACCTTTCAGATGCTGAGGCGCAGCAGTTCCTGCGATACGCACAGGGATCCGAAGTTCTAATGAACCGCGGAAATGTAGGTTATCATATTGTCTACAAAGAGGGACAGTTCTATCCAGTCAATCTCCTGCGCAATGTGGCCATGCAGCAAGTAAACACGCCCTACATGTTCCTCTCAGACATAGACTTCCTGCCAATGTATGGTCTGTACGAGTATCTCAGGTAAGAGGCACACAAGTCTTATAAAGGTCTGATCTAGTAATTTTACTGCTTAATGTTTACTGATTTTCTTTTCTTGTAGGAAATCAGTGGTGCAGCTTGAAATGGCCAACACCAAGAAAGCCCTAGTGGTTCCAGCCTTTGAAACTTTGCGATATCGCCTCAGTTTCCCAAAGTCAAAGGCAGAATTGCTTTCTCAGCTTGACATGGGCACACTCTTCACATTTAGGTGCAAAAAACTAACATCTCATTTTATTTCTTGTGTGTGTGACTCCATGAGGAGATGCAAAAGCAAAGAAGGTGGATGAGCAGTTGACCACTGATGTCATAATCTGTGATTTACCCCTGTTGACTATATAATGCTCCATATAAAGTACAGACCAAAGGTTTGGATTCACCTTCTCATTCAAAGAGTTTTCTTTCTTTATGACGATGAAAATTGATGACTCACACTGAAGGCATCAAGATTATGGATTAACACGTGGAGCTATATACTTAACAAAAAGGTGTAAAACAACTGAAAATGTGTCTTATATTTTGGGTTCTTCAAAGTAGCCACCTTTAGCTTTGATCACTGCTTCGCACTCTTGGCATTCTCTTAATGAGCTTCCAGAGGCCGTCACCTGAAATGGTCTTTCAACAGTCTTGAAGGACTTCCCAGAGATGCTGAGCACTTGTTGGCCCTTTTTCCTTCCCTCTGCGGTCCAGCTCACCCCAAACCATCTGGATTGGGTGATTGTCCGGGTCCAGGTCCTCTGGCGCTGCACCCTATCACTCTCCTTCTTGGTCAAATATCCCTTCCTAAGCATGGAGGTGTGTTTGGGGTCATTGTCCTGTTGAAAAATAAATTATGGTATAACTAAATGCAAACCAGATGGAATAGCATGCTGCTGTAAGATGCTGTGGTAGCCATGCTGGTTTAGTTTGCCTTCAATTTAGAATAAATCCCCAACAGTGTCACCAGCAAAGCACCCCCACACCATCACACCTTCATGGTGGGAACAAGGCAGTTAGAGTCCATCCGTTCACCTTTTCTGCATCATGCAAATACACGATGGTTGGAACCAAAGATCTCACAGTTGGACTCATCAGACCAAAGCCCAGATTTTCACTGGTCTAATGTCCATTGCTTGGGTTCTGTACCCCAAGCAAGTCTCTTCTGCTTGTTGCCTGTCCTTAGGAGCGGTTTCCTAGCAGCTATTCTACCATGAAGGCCTGATTCACACAGTTTCTTCTTAACAGTTTTTCTAGAGACGTGTCTGCTGCTAGAACTCTGTGTGGCATTGACCTGCTCTCTGATCTGAGCTGCTGTTAACCTGTGATTTCTGTGGCTGGGGACTCAGATGAACTTCTCCTCAGCAGAAGAGGGGACTCTTGCTCTCCCTTTCATGTGTGCTAGTTTCTTTGTACTACTTGATGGTTTTTGCGACTACACTTGGGGACGCTTTCAAAGTTTTGCCAAGTTTTTGGACTGACTGACCTTCATTTCTTAAAGTAATGATGGCCACTTGTTTTTCTTTACTTGGCTGCTTTTTTCCTTGCCATAATTCATATTCTAACAGTCTATTCAGTAGGACTATCAGCTGTGTATCCACAGTAGTTTTTTCCTTGAAGCCTACACTAATATGCGAGTAAAAAAAACTACACAACCCAAAAACCACCTGCGCTCAAAAACAACAATGTATTGGCAGAAATCTTATTGAAGACTACAATAATGGGAGCGGGAGTCATTCTGAATGGGAGCGGGATGGGAGTGGGAGTAATTTCACCAGGAGTGGGATGGGACCGGATTTAGATTCCTACTCTGGCCCGGGATCGGGACGGGACACCATTTTTTCTGTGGGAGTGGGACGGGACAGGAGTGAAAATCCACTGCCGTGTCAGTCTCTACTGTGAAGTGGAAACCATTTCAGGTGACGGCCTCTGGAAGCTCATCAAGAAAATGCCAAGAGTGTGTGATGAACCAAGAAAAAAGCAAGAGGTGGCTACTTTGAAGAACATAGAATATAGGACAGATTTTCAGTTGTTTCACACTTTTGTGTTTAAGTATATAATTCCACATGTGTTCATTTGTAGATTTGATGCCTTCACTGTGAATCTGAATCTCTTTGAATGAGATGGTGTGTCCAACCTTTTGGTCTGTACTGTACATACCGATAGAAGTTCTCCTCTGTTATAGACCCATCCTCTAAGGAGTGTCTCTCATTAAGCACATTTTTTTAAATTAAAAATCATAGCATTCACATAACACCGTCTGAAAACTGTACACTAGTGGTTTGTTGCAATAAATTTATAATTTATGTTAACTATGACAAATATTTTACAATGCAGGAGTCATAATGAATTTCTTCTGTGTTCATAGTGCAAATAATTGATTTGTAGAAAATGTTTTCATTGCCACTTGTTGCATAAAAGCATTGTTACATAAACGCTCCTTCTATCTTTATAGGTACCATGTCTGGACAAAAGGCCATGCGCCAACTAACTTTGCCAAATGGAGGACGGCCACCACTCCCTACAGAGTGTTGTGGGAGGCAGACTTTGAGCCCTATGTGATGGTGAGGCGGGACAGTCCAGAGTATGACCGCCGCTTTGTGGGCTTTGGCTGGAACAAGGTGGCTCATATCATGGAGCTCGATGCACAGGTTATTCATCTTCATTTCCTGCTTTATTCCAAATCGTAGAATAGAAAATCCATTTATGGTCCCACAATTGGGACATTCTTGTGTTTACAGCAGCAAAAAGATAATAGAAAAAATGGTCACCTTAGAAAAATTTATTATTATAACATAATAGTGAAGAGTTAAATAATAAACCCTAAAACACTGTACTGTAAAGTGTTTTAACAATATAAAACTGAACCTGGAGAATAAATAACCAATATCCAGCTATTGATATTTTTACAGTAATGGATATTTGAAAATAGCAGCAACATCAGAGATGTGCAGAATGACAGCAGCAGGTTATTTAACTGACTAAGGTAGAAACTGAGCAGAATCAGCATGAATGGAAGAACTGATTGAGGTTGATGGGAACAGTGGTGGTTCTAGAGTCTTCCAGCTGCTGGGAGGAAGGATCTGTGATAACGCTCCCTGGTGCATTTAGGGAGCAGCAGTCTGTCACTGAAGGAGCTCTCCAGTTCAGCACCAGCTTCATGCATGGGGGGGAGACATTATCCAACAGAGATGTTCATTTAGTTAGGATCCGTCTGTTTCCACCTCCTGCACTGAGTCCAGAGGGCATCCAATCAGAGCTGGCCTTCCTGATCAGCTGATCCAGACGCTTCCTCTCTGCTAAAGATCAGCACTGCTCCAACAGACAGCTCCATAGAAGATGGCTGATGCCACAGCAGAGTCAGAGAAGGTCTTCAGGAGCGCCCCCTCAGTAGGAAGACTCTGCTCTGACCTTTCTGATCCAGAGCCTCAGTGTTGGGAGTCCAGTCCAGTTTGTTATTCAGGTGAACACCGAGGTCCACTATCTCAATGAGGATGGAGTTGTGGGTTGGATTGTATATAAGCTAGTTGGGTTCTTTTGAAACTAAGATTTCAATTTTGATTGATCGTTGTTTTTATTTGACTTTCAAAGGTTTTACTTTATTTTTCCTGTTGGATTGCTCTGTTGCCAGTACTATTTTTGCTCAGAATAACAAAGATGTAATGCATTTTAAGTTGCAAGGTTAATGTAATTTCTGCATGATCTGTAAAATAAGTAGAGAAAATTATCTTTTTAAAGTTACATATAATCTAACTTTGTTAAAAAATATTTGTCCATACCGTTAATTAAAAAGCAATAACAGGTTAGTTCCTTAAGCATAGACCAGCCCCGATGCCTGTTTTTCAAATTAAACAAGGTCTTCTCTAAAACATTTTGCAAGTATAGCTCATTATTTTCAGGGTAAACATGTGGTCAGTGTAGCGCTCAGAGAGAGGACTTTAGAAAGAGAGTCATTTTTTTTGCTACGCTTAAAGGGGAACACAGGTATTTTTACATTGGCCCCTTTATTTTACATTATTCCATCATGTTCTACTCACCCATATGAGTTTAGTGTCATTTGGAGCCGTTCTGAAGATATTCCGTTAGGTTATATCCAGTAATGTCTTCCCATGGGCAACGACTTGAAGGCACAAACTAAACTGTTCATCATTTATTCTTTATGGTACGCCAGCATTCAGAACATGGAGGTTAATCACTGTCCCCCAGACATCCGCGGTTATATTTTTTTATATTTATATTTTTATAAAACAAAGCTGAGTGTGTTTGACATTTATTAGACATAAAGTTATTTTAAAAGACGCAGAGGAGTAACGTCACATCTAGTATGTAGAGCAGGGGGTATGAGAGGAGCTGAAATTGATGAACATTAAAAACAACAAATTTCTTCAGACTTTTAAGTTACCAGATTAAGGTTTTGTGTCTGAGGAAAGCCAATGAGCCCTTGACCCCCAAACCCTCTAGGACATTTGTTTAGAAAATGAGTAGATCTTATCAGAGAGACTTTCTATCATTGCTAGATGTCATGACCACTTTAATTCAATTCAGTTTATTTCTACAGCGCCAACTCAAAACACGTCAGCTCAGGTCACTTTACAGAAACAATTCAACCAGATCACACAGTCAGATTGATCAAAGTTTCTATCTAAGGAAAACCAGTTGATTGCATCGACTCATTGACTCTTCAGCAATCCCTCACACTAAGCATGCTTGTAGCGACAGTGGAGAGGAAAAACTTCCTTTGAACAGGAAGAAACCTCCAGCAGAACCAGGCTCAGTGTGAGCGGCCATCTGCTGAGGCCCACTGGGGTTCAAGGAGACAGAAGCAGACATAGAAAAAGAAGCATAGATACAAAAGGCAGCTGTCAACCAGCTCCACAGGCGGCCCCGTCCAGGAAACACACAGCCAGGCAGACGAGCTCCGAGCCAGCTCCCATGTCAGAGGATGAAGAGAGCACATCCAGTTAGTCACAGTCAGAGAAACAGGACTACACTGAAAAACAGGCTGAGCTCCAACATCTAGAAACAAAGGTGTTGATGGCAGCAGCACAGCTGATGTTTCTCTCCAGGATGGAGTCACAGCCAAACAGGAACAGACCAGATGAAGCTACTATGAGAAAAAGCAGAGAGAGCAGAACGTTAGAGATTGAACTAACAGATTCTGCAGAGTGGGAGAATAGAGATAGAATGAAGCAGAATGATGAAAAAGGGGTCCCTATGTCCTCCAGCAGTCTAAGCCTATAGCAGCATAACTATAGAGATAGCTCAGGATAACCTGAGCCACTCTAACTAGAAGCTTTATCAAAAAGAGTAACGGTGGAGCTGGTAAAATGCACACTTTACTGAAATGTGTCTCTTTCTTTCCACAGGAGTACGAGTTTGTGGTCCTGCCGAATGCCTACATGATCCATATGCCCCATGCACCCAGCTTTGACATCACTAAGTTTCGCTCCAATAAGCAGTATCGTGCCTGCCTTAAGACCCTGAAAGAGGAGTTCCAGCAGAACATGTCTCGTCGCTTTGGCTTTGCTGCTCTAAAGTACATGACAGCAGAGAACAACACCTAGTCATCACCCTGGTTTTTAATTTGGCTTTATGAACGACTCAAACACGTTTGATTACTTGAATAAGGCCCTTTGGAATTTTGTAAGATTCAGAACCTGAGACTCTAAAAGACGATATTGATCAGATATGTTATCTTCTACTTGGAGTGGAAGTGATGATCAATAAAGAGTAGACTTCTTTAGTGCTGCATCAGACTACAGGCTGCAGACTAATGGAGCAATGCGGTATGTCACCAACACTAGAGAGGAAGCTGATGTCCTGTCATGTTTGTAGACTGTAAAATGATATTGAGTGTGTGTTGCTTTTCTTTAGGATGGGCTTAAGGGAAAAATCCAAAACGCAGAGTTAAGGAGGACTGCACAGTTTCACTGAAGCAAACCACAACTCTACCTAAAATAAAACCATATTAAATATGTTGAAACGGATTCAGTCTGGTTTTAACAGAAAGCAGTACTAACTTATGTTTTTCCTGTTAGATAGGGGGGGGGGGTTACCTTAAGATTGGTGTATGAACTAACCTGATACAGGAAACAAAGAAAAGGTTTATGATTTAAAGCCTGTTTGCAAAGCTTATGAAGTTCACAAAAATTACTTTTTTAATGTTTAAGCTTAATTGACCTAGAAGGAAATCCAGCACCATGTCTTTGTTTTGTGTTTTTGTTTTTTTCTGTTATGAACAATCATTGAAAGGTGTTAACGGCTGGAGGTCCTGCAGTTTTTTATTTATTTATTTCTTTTTTTTTGCTGAGCCACACTGGCTTCTGCTTTTTTACAGGGAGAAGTTGAAGCCGTGGCAAAACAGTGTTACAATATACAGCTTTTAAGTTATGTTTTCACTGAGGCATAAAATAACTACTGGATGGAGAACAGCAGCAGTATATTTTCCTTTGGGCCTCAGTTTGTGAGACTAAAGAATTTCTGGGATTAATATGAATAAAAAAGGTAGTAAGAGTGGCTCTCTAAGAGTTGAACTGGTTTTAATTTATCAGCACATAAGTTGATTGGTGGGAAGATCAGATTGGTTACTTGTTTATGTTGTATTTAGTTTTATTTAGAAGTAATTGACACAAATTACTGAAACTTGGCTGACAGCAAACATCTGGTCCTGGAAGAACTTTCCATGTTTCTAATATTTGACTTTTAACTGAATCAGCTTGTTTTATGTCAGGAAGCAGAAAAACACCCTCAGCTTTAAACCTACATAAAAGACCTATTGTGGCTCCAGGGGTCCGTTTCACAAAGCAGGTTTAACAAACTCTGATTCAGATCAGCCAATCCTAATTGATCTAGCCTAAAGTCGGAAACTGCGTTTTTAGTTTCACAACAGCTGCTATGAATTAGTTCAAGCAACTCTAAGTAGGTCCACTCAGAGTTTAACATGTGTGTAACAAGTTTGAAAAGCCATTATCAGTAGAGCACAGATTCAACGCGTCACCATGGCAACAGGAAGTGCCGATTTCACCACACTGTAACCAGAGAATAATTAAAAAATTTAAATGGAGAATACATTTAAAAGACAGAGAAACAGCGCTACAGCTGCAAAGGAGAGGAAGATGGGAAATTAGTAGATTGTTTCTCAAGTTAATGTATAATTGAAGTCGGCTGTTTGTGCATTTATTAAAAGCTCTCTGTTGTTCCATTTAAAATTCCTGATCAAAATCACATTCCTAGACTGAACAAAAAAAAAATATATTTTCTAAATTACATTTTTTTTTTTTGCAGAAACAGAATTTTAGAAGGTAATGGTGTATGTGTGTGTGTACATCCAGAATGTTTTTTTCTAGATGAGAAGAATTTCATTTAGTTTGAAATGGAAATTCGTCAAAGAAATTTTTTTTTTCTCAGATATCAGGAATACATATTCAGTAAAACTAGTACATATCAAAATTGCCTGCAATAAAGTGGTTACATTGAAAATATTACAGAATTATTTCTGGAATGGTAGTTAATTAATGTATGTATTTAAGTTAAATCATCCGGCAGCAGGTGAAAATTAAGTCTAGAAATGCTCTAATAGATGGAACCTCATCGTAACATAGGGTTCTTCTTCAGTCTGATTCTGTCTTCTGTCACACAGTAAATACCAAGTGTCTGTTTGCAGCCTCTTCGGATGTTATCATCCCTATAAATGGCTGTTTTTAGCGGTTATTAGTCCCATAGAATGGCTTCAGAATGTGGCAGTAGACCCCCCACCCCATAGTGAATCTATGTATGTTTAATCTGAGAATTACTTTATTAGTTCTTCATGTACTGTAAAAATAAATAAAAATTGTCCACATATTGCTCACATTAAACAAACCAAAGAAACATAAATCTCAATATCCAGTCACTGAGTTGTAGAATCCTCTCCCTATAAGTATACTCTGATTCAAATCTGCAATGTACGTTTTTTTTTTTTTTTAAACAAACTGACCTAGTTAATGATTTTTACTTCTTTATGCACAAAACTATGACAAAAAACTAAATCAGGAAATAAAACATGATTGGCTGTAAGCAGATGGAGACGTCCTCTGTCTCCATCAGAAGAAAACCTGCTGCTGACCAGGTCAGCTCTGAGGAGGATGTTACTATGGCAACAGAATCAGAGGTTGAGGAAACTCTTTGTGAAACGGAAAAGTCAGAGTTCCCTGTTTTCAGGTTTAGAGAACTCAAGAGTTTTCAGTAAACCTGCTCTGTGAACTTGACCTCAGGTGGAACCTATAAAACCAGTGCTGCAGTGAAACTGGGACTGATTTTCTTTGACTATTGCAGTTCTCTTTATTGTGCGACTGCAGTCTCTCCTATAAACTAAATAGAAAAGTACCTGTTTTTCTTTTAAAGTATATTCTGAGAGATGTGTGAGTGGTTTCTGTCTGATTCTTAGTATGTCTGCGTCTTTCTATGTTCTGTTGCTTTGCAGAACTGATGGAGTCTGTGTCGTGGAACTTGAACTGGAGCTCAGCTGATATCTGAATAAAAGCAAAGAGTCAAACACCCGGCTGCTTTTCTCTTCAATCACTTCCCTCCTTGGTTCACCATCTGAACCTACCAAAGCAAGGGATCCTGGGTAGCCCTTAAATGATTGTTTCTGTTGAATTTCCAAGGGTCTCACATTGAAAACATATTTTACTGATTTTATTAAATGAGTTAATTGTTTTCATATCTTAAGGTTACATTTGAAGTGCTAGATATTCTGGTAAGACTTTCTGAAATTAGACCTAGATGTCATAGTATTTCTGAAGAACTTTCAGTTTTGAATGGATTTTGGCTCCACCCAGTGGACAAAAGCTGTATTGTTTTGCCTGAAGGAAAACAGAATTTCCCATGAGGACCAGTGCATTGTCCTGGTCACCTTCAGTTTGATTGAACTACATTTCTTTTTCCAGTGAATGTGAAAGATTAGGGAATAAATTTAATTGTGGCGAAACTATGTCATATCGTTTAACTTTGGTTTTGTACCGTATTCCTGTATTAAATGTAAAAAGTAACTGCTTTCTAGGTAAATGTTTTTACGTAATCTCAGTGTAACTGTGCATAAATACATTCAAGCTGCATCTCTTGAACCATTATTCTGTATTTATTATTATTGCATTTGAGCTTTTGTCTTGGAGCTGGTCAGCCTATCAAAATTTTAAAGGAAAATTAAGAGTCAAGTGGAAATTATGCTAAATTAGAAGAACAGAGCAGCTACCAGGTGTTTAGATACAGTTTATAGAAGCTCATGAACCCTTTTCTCAAAACCAGACTTTAAAGTCATACAACATTTGTTTTGTAGCCAGTAAGTTTGTTCATTGAATCTGACTGGAAGCGCAGCTGACAACCTAAAGTCTGACAAAGTCACCAAATGAATCAGGAAAAGACCTGAGAAACCTTCAGAACACCCATTCAGGTTTGGTCCTTCCAAACTTTGCAGATGACTGAACGTGCAGCATAATAAGTCTCAGGTTTTTCCAGACAGGCAAAGTGCTGCATGACTCAGGTCCAGTTCCTAAACTTTAAATGTATGAAGTCAATCATATGTTGCTATTATAACATGAATCAATGAAGATGGTTGTAGATTTCAGTAGAAACAAGAACAAGTCAAATTCTAGTACCATCATGGGAGAAGTGGGGGATTATAAATACCTTGGTTGTGGAATGGAAACTAAATCTATGCAGAAGGAACAGAGCAGAATGAAGATGCTGCAGATCTTCTACCAGTCTGTTGTGGAGAAACATTTCCTTTGGGCCTCAGTTTGTGAGATGAAAGAATTGTTGTGATGCTGAATCTACAACCTGTCTGCTCTCAATACGCTTCACAAATCACACCCAATCAGTCATCGCTGATCTACTGCTGAAACAGTGAAACCCAAAGTAAGTCACTAAACCAGTTCATTAATGGGGAAACATTAGGACCACCTATATCAGAGAGATTATTCCTCTGTACAGGTCACCATCTCCTGCTCCTTCTAAGGTGATCTTTATATTAATAGGAAGAAAAAAGGTAGTAAGAGTGGCTCTCTCAGAGTTGAACTGGCTTTTATTTTTTGCTTTATGACCATCAGCCAATAAGTTGATTGGTGGGAAGATCAGATTGGTTACTTGTTTATGTTGTATTTAGTTTTAGTTAGAAGTAATTGACACAAATTACTGAAACTTGGCTGACAGCAAACATCTGGTCCTGGAAGAACTTTCCATGTTTCTAATATTGACTTTTACCTGAATCAGCTTGTTTTATGTCAGGAAACAGAAAAACACCCTCAGCTTTAAACCTACATTTAAGACCTCCTGTGGCTCCAGGGGTTCGTTTCATGAAGCAGGTTTAACAAACTGATTCAAATCTCAAGATTTTAGATGATTTTTTTGTTTATAAAAAGAAAGAAAGGTAGGAAGTTTTATGACCATCAGCCCATAAGTGCTGTGGAGAGTGTGATCTCTTCTGCAATCATTTGTGGGGAAATAGCATCAAAGAAGATGGATGCTTTTTTATGAACTCATCAGTAGATGATTTCACTAACAAGAATTCTCTATAAGAACAAAAAACATTATTAGCATCTTCTATCAGACTGCTGTTCAACAACAGCATCTTCTGTCAGACGCTCCTCTAAAGGAAGACCACTGCAGCAGACCATTCTGCTGACAACCATCTTCAACAACTGAGGAAAATCTTCAGCGCGATCAAGTTTATTTTTAAAAGTTGCGAAACATTTACATGTAAATAACTGAGATTATTATTGCTAATTTACATCTCTCCACTGAAAAAAAAAAAGTTACGGTAACTGATTTTTTAATTTTATTTCAGTTTAGTATGGGAAAAAAGTCAGAATTCTGACTTTTTTCTCAGAATTCTGACTTTAATCTCAGAATTCTGACTTTAATCTCAGAATTTTGACTTTTTTTATTGTCAGAATACAGTCAGAATTCTGAGAAAAAAGTCAGAATTCAGAGCGGAAGGATCGCAAG